TTTTCAAATCCCTTTTTGTCAATTTTTTGTTTTGCCCACACCCCTCCCCCCCCCCCAACCAACCTTGCATTGTTGATGATAAGTAAGAAAATATCCACATCACATCTTTAAGCCCCTAAAATATCCAAGGCCCACTGCAGTCCTGGGGTTTGCTGGGCTCACATGTTTCTAAGGTTAAATGACACCTACTTTTTAATATTAAAACTAGCATCACTTCCGTTGCCCCCTAGTGTAGAATGCTGCAAAACTAAATTAAAGTATTTGCTAAAATGCATTCTTGTATTTTGGATGTGTCCAAAATTTTTGGGGACTAAAAAGATTTAATAGGCGATATTAAGCTAGGGAAAATGCATACCCTCGAGGACAACACAACAGGAATTAACTTAGTTAATTTCCCCCTGGTGCTGCGTTAAAAATGTCTTTAATCATTATTATGGCTAATTTTGACGCTTCCTAAACGAAAGTTTGAAAAGTCCCCTAAAAAGTATCTGAAAGAAACACTTAATTCAAGTAAGCGCCAAAATGCACCCCAGCGTTTTAAATTTGCGCGACTGTCTTCAGCACCCTCAATTTCTGCACCCATTCCCTCATGCTGATCAATATTACAGTATGGGGTTGAAAATAATCGTGTGCCAAATGATTACCCTGGGGCACGCAGCAACTAAAGTGAATTTAGTTATATATGACTCTGACACCATAATGCCTCCCCATACCCTTAAAAATTTCCTTTCTCTGATCAAAAAGACTAATATAAACATTAATTTCAAATATACTCTAAATGCGCCACTTGATTTTGAAATAATAATTTAAAAATTCTGGGGATAAAGGCTCCCCAGATATCTCCATCGCTCAAGATTCATCTGACGTACTTATGCCTTTTACCCCGTCTGGGGCATAGGGCGTCTAAAAGAATTTTCAATTCATCTCTGTCCTGTGCGTTACTTTTCAGTTGCTTCCATGTGTATCCCATACTTTGTGTGTCTGCCTCTAGCTTGCGTCTCCATGTATCCCATAATTTGTGTGTCTGCCTTTAGCTCGCGTCTCCATGTATCCCATACTTTGTGTGTCTGCCCCTAAGTCACGTCGCCATGTATCCCATAATGTGTGTGTCTGCCTCTAGCTCGCGTCTCCATGTATCCCATAATTTGTGTGTCTCCCTCTAGCTCGCGTCTCCATGTATTTTTGGGGCTGCCTCTCTTTCTTTTCCCCTGTGAATTTCATGTTAGGGATTGTCTGGTAATGTTATCTGGGGGTTTGATGAGAGTGTGCCCTATCCACATCTATCTTTTCTTTATGATGTGTTCAGCAAAATGCTCCTGGTATGTTCCATCCAGTAAGTCTTTGTTGGTGATGGTGTTTGGCAATTCGATCTTCCTGATCCTTCTAAGGCAAATGTGTATGAAGGTCTGTACTTTCTGCATGATGCTCGCTCGGTCTTGTTCTCCAAGTTTTGGCTCCACACAGTAGGCCTGTTTTGACATTTACGTTGAAAATTCTGAATTTTGTTTGAAGACTTAGATAGCTCCTTTTACTTCCATATTTTCTTTATAGCACAAATGCTGACCTAGCCTTTCCCATTCTTGCCCTGAATTTCACTTGGGATCCAACATTTAAGTCAATGCTGCCGCCCAAGTATGTGAAGGCCTCCACTTCTTCCAACACATTTCTTACCAGAGAGCTTTGCTTTGTTTGCCTGAGTTTACCATTATGATCTTAGTCTTGCCTTTCTTTATTTAAATTATAGAAAGATTCATCGGTACCTCAATTTCTACCCTTCGACCTGATGAAAATGTTCGATAATTTTGGTGACGAGAGATACACTATCTAGAGGTGCTAGAGATGCACTATCTAGAGGTGCTAGAGATACACTATCTAGAGGTGCTAGAGATACACTATCTAGAGGTGCTAGAGATACACTGTCTAGAGGTGCTAGAGATACACTATCTAGAGGTGCTAGCGATACACTATCTAGAGGTGATAGAGATACACTATCTAGAGGTGCTAGAGATACACTGTCTAGAGGTGCTAGAGATACACTGTCTAGAGGTGCTAGAGATACACTATCTAGAGGCGTCGCTACGTTTAGTGCCACCCTGGTGGTCAGATATATTTTCCGCTCTCTCTTTCACGATATCATGAGGACATGAATCATTTTGCCAACCCCCCCCCCCAACTCTGAAATTGACTAATTATTTACAACCATCAAACACCATTAAAGCCCATTTTGGTGCCCCCNGCCACTCGAAAATCTGAAATGCCCCCCCCCCCACCTCCGGGGAAAAATGTCTGAAGTTGGCCGAAAATGCCACCCTTTCATATAAAGAAACAATATTCCTGCCGCGCCACGTCTTTCCCCCACGCAAGCGTTGTGTGGGTCTGCTAATTATCATAATACGGCTAATGCTTCATTTACTCATTTTTTCAAACTTTTCGAATCAACTATCTTAAGCCTATCATAAAATGTATAATTAAGATCTAATATAAATCCAACCAAAAAGGTAACATAAATCTATCATAAAACCAAGCCTAAAATTCTTAACATAAAATCCAACATAAACGAAACATAAAATCTAACACAGAACCAAACCTAAAACCTAAACTAAAAACTATTATTAAAACTGGCCAGTCACGAAATTGTCTGTCTTATCAGCATTAAGTATTTACACAAATGTATTATTTTTATACGAAGAGTCTTCAATGGCCATTGAAAACTGAAACAAATGGCGCTCTTATCACTCTTCGCGTACTCCATGTTCTACAGGGTGGACCAAAAAATGAGAACATCATTTGCAATGTTCATATAATAATTACATCAATATAATTTGTTAAATGTATGCAATTACTGATTTACTTATGTACCTATATTTAACTAAATGATATCATAATCATGATAGTTTTCGGTGTCCATAAATGACAAAACGTTATATCAATTCATTTATATTAAATAACCCTTTGCTATGAGATGTTCTCATTTCTTTTGGACCACCCAAAAACTGTATTAAACTGTACTCCATCTTGTACTCTGTTATAGTGCATATTGTAGGCCCTACCTACAGATCTGAATGCAGCAGCTGATTGTTGTGCTCCATGATTGGTGTGAAGAGAGAAAATAAATTAAAAGATTGGCATGAATTGGGGCATTTAAACACATTTTTCATTGTTTAAATTTATTTTGGCAGTGATAACACATGCACATGACATTGAGCTTAAAAATAATTCTGTTTAATTATTATTTGTGTGGGCTGTATGTATATATATATATATATATATATATATATATATATAAGCAATTTCTTTCGACCTTTAAATGTTTAATTTTTTATGTATTAAATGTAATAAAATATACTTATTTATCATGATAAGATTACATTAGACTACATTACATTATAAATTAATGTTTACGTCTATATGTGTGTGTGTGTCTGTGCTTGCGTGCGTGTGTATCTTTCCTAGCCTACCATTCATTCAATGAATGTAACACAATCCATTTTTATTCATTTTAGACGCCATTATTAATTTCATCATCAATTATCATTAATACCAAACCTGTTCAATTTTTTTCAGCCTTCCATTTCTTTTTAATGTAGGATTTCATTTTTTAACTATTTTGTTCCAGATAATTATAATAATTTTAAAAATTTAAGGCCCGAGTGCTCATCAATTTTAATTTTTTTTTCAAAAAATATAAATTTTAAAATAATATAGGCCTATATTAATAATATAAAATATCTTTCTCGAGCTTCAGAAAGCTGATAGGGGCTTTAATTTGGTTTTTGTAGAGGGCGTCAGATGCGCGTCTGCATGCATGAAATACAAATTCGATGTATATTGCTTCCTAAAATATACGTAAATTATTTTCTGTAATATTCCAGAAGCATAGCTGGAAGCATGGGCGCCCGCAGAAAACTTTCTGGGGGGGGGGGCAAAAAAATCGATTAACTTTCTAGGGGGGGGGGGGAAAAAAATGTTTAGAAATGTTTTAATGTAGTTTTAATTTACTGTAGCGTATTTGTATGGTGAACGAACGGACAGGACATGAGCTTAGTTACTTTCTCTTTATTTCCTCTTTACTTTAATACATTTTTGTCTATTTTTGTCTAAAAAAATGTTATCCAATCAATCGGGGGGGGGGGGCAAGTGCCCACCTTGCCCCTATCTGTGGGCGCCCATGGCTGGAAGGCAGATAGTGGCATGTGTCCCCGACTGCCAGACTATTTGGGGCGCCAAAACTGGCTTTGGTGTATTTATTGATGGAAATGTTGGGTTTCAGGGTTGAGATGGGCTTAAAAATGAATCTTGTCCCTGGGCACCCAACACTCTAGCTACCCCTCTGTAAAATTGTGGATCTTTGTTTTTTTAATGTTGAATTTGATTTGAAATTAATTTAAAAAGCAATATGAGGGGCGCTTTGAGAAAATGATACAAAAAAAATGTTGTTGCTATTTGAAATTATTAATTTTTAAAACATTTATTTAAATACCGTAATTATTTGGCTGAATAGAATGAGACTACAAAATCGTATTAAATAAAAAGATTTAATGAATAATTGTCTTTTTAATTTGTGAGTGATTTTGTGTGTATCACATAACTGTGTCATTTGTGTGTGTGTGGGTGGTGTATTGATAATAATAATCATAATATGTATTATGATTATTATTATTTGGCCTAAAATAATTAGATCCATATTAGATTTTTTTATGTTCACTGAAATTATTTTAAATTGGGCCTACCCCTGAATAAATAATAAATTAAATAAATATCCTCCGATTCACAGTGATACAATATTATTTGAAATGTTGTATCAAATCCATCATCATAGTGCTTGTTAATAAATAAAAAAAATATTTTTTTTTGCAAAAATTAATGAAAATGGGTACTCAAAGAAGTTTAAATCTGTGTTTGGCATTTAGAGGAGAAAAAAATGAAAAGGGGGGGGGGGGGGGGGGGGGGGGGCGACTCTCTTAGACACTTCGGAAATTCCAATCAAAATCGAAAGAAGGGTTACGGGCATCTGTTTCCGCTTCTTAAGGTTTAGTTGTCTACTCAGTCTACTTAGCCTCATTCATTCATTGTCAACAAAGTAAGTAATAACATATAAACTTATTAAATTAAATAAAACAACATTATCTTTAATAGTGCTACTAGTAACTAGTAGTATATCATTCAAGTAGTCAGGATTTACGGATTTATAATTTTATTGTAGGGGACGGTGGTAAAATCATTGTAATTGTAAGTTATTGAAAGTAAGAATAAGTCACAATCACAAGTGTAAGTGAGTGCGTGTGAGTGACCCAATTTTAATTTTTAAATTAGCCCTGCCCTATCCTATTTCTGATTCCTAGTAATAATAGTAGTAGTCTTAGTCTTCGTAATAGTATCTGACATGAGATCTCAATCTGGCTATAACTATAACTATCATTATCATTTAGTTAGGCTACTTGAAAAGTGTCTACTAGAGCAGAGCAGAGTTTCCCAAAAATTTTTGTGCCATGCCAGCTGTCTTGCACATTTGGTCGAATTGGGATATTGGGTTTCTGTTTCCTTACCAAAGCCATGCCATCTCTCTTTTTATATTAAATAAAGTTTTAACAGACTCATCATTTTTGCAATCTGTGTGTTCTTCTTGATAATTGAATACTTGAAATATCAGGAAAATCCACTAACATTGGCTGCTTCATCAAAGTAGGAAAATCAATTTGTTTTATATTATTTATCGAAATGAAAAATTTATTTTAAATCATGTATTCACATATTAAAATCTAGAAATTTTATGTTCAACTCAGCTTTTAGATGCACAAAGAGTTAAAATCTTGCACAAGATTTCTTCTATCTTGTGTTCAGCAACACAGAAATCGCCAGAGAGTTTTGAAAAGTCCATTTTCAACGTGTTTGACTTGTTTTTCAACTTCTTCAGTCAACAATAAGGTAAACAAGCAAGAAATAATATACTCTGATTATTTACTTTTTAAAACATAGTAATTATTATGAGAATGAGTTTATCTAGCCATAAATTTACATTTTCCATGAGTTTGTTTATATGTTCTGGCTTAATCTGCTATGTTACTAGCATAAAAATAATGTCAGGCTTTTAAAAAAAGAGCTAAGTACAAAATGTGGGTAATTTCCTGTATAGCTTTTTATGATATTGGCAATTGCCATAAGTGAGAACTTGTGAGGCCTGGGAGAATGATTTGTTTCCCAGTCAGCAGATCCTCTATCTTTATGCAGCTGGTGATCTGGAGGTAAAAGAACATCATATGAACGTTAAAAGACAGTGGAAGTTTGTGGTCAGAGTTTTTCCTTCTCAAAGATGAGCCACCATCTGAGGTCGATGGGTCTGATTTACAGAGTTCCCTTGTTTTTGTGTTGCTCTGTTGGTCATGATATTGCATGGGGTTTGAACACAGATGGCGAGATACTAAAATTAGTTTTATCAATAAATCCTATAATTTGCATTCAAAACACTATTAATTCCTATGTACATATTTTAAGTCTCTTTGATTACTTCAGATATAAATCTCTGCTTTGACTGATTCATATGCCACACTCTCAAGCCCCTAAAAAAAAACCCAAAACATTATTAGCTTAGCTTGTAAATGCACATATGATGTTCACATCATCAGATGAGTGAAAAATATCTGGGGAACTGATCTTACATAAATCTAATCTAGTGAGTGAAATCTTTAATTTTTATTAATTAGGAACATATATTTTTACCTGCCATTGGTCAATAACAAAGATTTAGTCATGCTATTAATTATGTTAATTAGATCCCCATTTTAAGGCAACGGCACAACATTACACAAGTAAGTTGGATAACTTTTTGTTTTTAACCAAAGGTCTTTGCCATTGTAAATTTTTTTTTTAGATTTCTAATATAAACAAAATGTGTATCTACAAAGTTTTTGTTGTTTTTTATTAAATAAAAGCTTTTTTTATTTCCATTTATTACCTTGTGTAAGAAACTATAAAAAGCAGAATTGGAATAAAGTATTAGTGTTGACAATATCAATATCACATATGCTATCCAAAATAATGTACTAATAAAAAATAAAGTTATAGAACGTATTGACATCGATAGCTATATAACTTTTATGTATTGTAACTTAATTATTTTATATAGAGACATTAATGCAAAAGTTAAATCATTCTTGGAAATAATGTCTAAAGGATATACTTTTTAAGGTGAGGTCATGCAACCATTCAAATTTAGACAAAACAAAATTTTAATTTTAAAAATGTAGTTTTTTTTTTAATGACTGAAACTCTTTGAGTTTGATGTAGCTACATTCAGAGTAGTATACTTAAATTTTAAATAATACCTCACAAAAATACTTTCTGAATAGATCATGTAATACAGGGGAATAGTTTGTGCAATAATGTTGTCCTGGATAAGGTAGGACAGTCATTTAAAATTCAAATTTATTTCTAACACTCTATGCTTCAGTGGCTAATTATAGTTTTATGAAATCATAATGGTATTTTTCTAAATGGGCTTATCAGGAGAAGTCTCTGGAGTCAGTAATTTATGTTGTGCTGACCTAATTATGGGGCTATCACACTGATGGCACACATTCACCATGCATGCACAACCTGTTACATACAGCTTAACTAAGTTACATTTGTGGATTGGCTTAATTGACCAAAGCTGTGTTAAGGTTGTTCAGACTGTACAGTTTAGCTACCTCAAATTGACTAAAATACTACCTTTTAACAAAAAACTATTTAATTATGTTCAGCTATCTTTAGTTTAAAAGAGTAAAGAAAAAGTAATTTTTTTCCTAAACAAAGCTTAAGGTCAGAAAGTGTAACAAGTACTTTTATTATCAACAAGATATGCATTCCAATTTTTTTTCTTATTCACTATTAGGACTAGGAAGTAATGTGTTATTCTCAGTTCAAATTTTGAAAACTTCTCAAAACCGTTTTATTTCCAATGGTGAAGGGTTTAAATTTTTGTAAAAGCAAAATGATTAACTTTATTTGACAGAAGTCAATTTGTAGAATATTATAAATTTTAATCTGTTTTTAGCTTATGATATATCACTGTTATTAGGAAAAGAAGAGAGAGAGAAAAAAAAAAAGAACTACTGAGACATTTCTAAACATTTTGAGAATACAAGTTGTTTACATTTTTCTGGCTCCTTTTGATCCTTAATTGTTCATCACAAATGGTTCACACCATGTCATTTAACAATTCACAACATCAAAATATAGATATAATTGAAATTTTTTAAAATGATAAGTAAGGAAAAGTTTTCATCATATTGCTTCTCTTTATTCATCAAATTGCTTCTCTTTATTCATCATATTGCTTCTCTTTATTCATCATATTGCTTCTCTTTATTCATCATATTGCTTCTCTTTATTCATCATATTGCTTCTCTTTATTCATCAAATTGCTTCTCTTTATTCATCATATTGCTTCTCTTTATTCATCATATTGCTACTCTTTATTCATCATATTGCTTCTCTTTATTCATCAAATTGCTTCTCTTTATTCATCATATTGCTTCTCTTTATTCATCATATTGCTACTCTTTATTCATCATATTGCTTCTCTTTATTCATCATATTGCTTCTCTTTATTCATCATATTGCTTCTCTTTATTCATCATATTGCTTTTCTTGATTCATCATATTGCTACTCTTTATTCATCATATTGCTTCTCTTTATTCATCATATTGCTTCTCTTTATTTATCGTATTGCTTCTCTTTATTCATCGTATTGCTTGTCTTTATTCATCTTCTTGCTTCTCTTTGAATGGCAAATGATAGAATCTGAAAACTTTATTTCTAAAAATCTTCTAATAATTTTTCTTAATGTCTCAAAGATGACGTCCAGAAAGTTTGAACTCGCCAAACGAGTGCAAGGCACAGAAAAAAATGTCTGGTATGTCACTTTGTTATTGCTTGTTGTACACAGCATAACTGTAATGTAGCACTTAAGAAAAATACATTAATGTAATTGCTAAGATATGTACACTCTTTTAAACAATTGGTCTCTATTGTTTGTTTTTTTTTGGTCATGGAGGGAGGCATCAGAAATTTATTTTAAATTTTGAAAAAATCAAATGGTCAACTCTTCTTCCCCTAGGGTTGATATATCCAAACTTGCAGTTGAACAGAATTCCATAAATTTAGGACAAGGTTTCCCTGACTTCATGGCACCCCATGACATTGTTAATTGTTTGAAAGACACTGTCAACAGTGACAGCCCAGCTGTCCATCAGTACGCTCGCAGCTTTGTAAGTACTTTGATCTTGCTTCCTGAAGCTTATAAAACTCTTTGTGTGGGAAAATTTTTTGTATTTTTCTTTTGCATCTTTAAGTATCGAAACCAGGGCTTAAGTCTTGCAGGAATGCAATGGAACGATATTATTGTTCTTTCTCCACAACAGGGAGGCCTTCCCGATTAGCACAGTGGTCGGCAAATCGTGACCCCCATTAGAAACTAGGTTCATACATGGATGGACACAGAAAGAAGTCATGCGGAGGGCTCTCTTTTGAAGCTATTGTGCCTAAATTATTGCACAGTTTGCCTCAGTCTTTGAGGGAAATAAAAAATAATAAAAAATCATTTAAGAGGCATTTAAAGACATTTTCCTTTAAATAGATTTTACGACATCAGAGCGCTGTGAGTATGCTAGAATAGCATGGACACAAGCGCTATACAAGGAATCAATTATCTTCATCATCATCATCATACATCTGCCATAAAGCCCTCATGATAAAGTTTTTGTCATAACTTAGTTAATTTTGTAATGATAAAATGACTCCCTTGTGTTGTTTTTTTCCCCAGGGACATCCGCGACTGGTGAAAGCACTGGCTGAGTTGTACGAACCATTCCTTGGGAGGCAGATTGATCCCATGACAGAAATTCTCATCTCTGTTGGGGCTTACGGGGCTCTCTTTTGTGTCATTCAGGGATTAGTGAACCCAGGCGATGAGGTATGAAGGTTGGGATTTTTTAATGGAAGCTTGGATTGTTGAATGGGTGGCTGGATCTCATAAACTGTAGACAGCAATGTAATGTTCTAGCATTTAATGTCAATACAAATAGTTGGATTGTTGAGTGGGTGGCTGGATCTCATAAACTGTAGACAGCAATGTAATGTTCTAGCATTTAATTGTCAATACAAATACATTGGAACCCCGCTATAATGCGTTGATCGGGGTCCATAAAATCGGATAGCGTTAAAAGCGGGGTTGCGTTAATGCGCCGTCTTACAATATTTCTACAGGAAGAAAGCCTCGTTTTCGGCATTAATTTTGATACCAGTTTAGTTGTGATTTTTTTCGCTTTCCAAACAATGGATAAAATTTTCAAGAACTTAGGCCTGATGGAGTAAATGAATTTCAAATTTCGGGAGCCATGCTACGACCGTGTTATATTCGAATTCACGTTATGGCGGGCGCGTTATAGCGGGGTTCCACTGTAGTTGGATTGTTGTATGGAAAGTTGAATGAATGAATAGTTTGATTGTTGTATGGTGTGTTGAAGGGATGTTTAGATTGTTGTATGGTTAATTAGATTGTTGAACAGGTCGTTTGATTGTTGAACCGGTGGTTTGATTGTTGAACCGGTGGTTTGATTGTTGAACCGGTGGTTTGATTGTTGAACAGGTGGTTTGATTTGTTGAACCGGTGGTTTGATTTGTTGAAAGTCCCCCCCCCCTGATGTTATTATCCACCATCCTCTCTTCCTCTTCATTTATTCTCCCCTCGGTCGCCCCATTGAATTGCTCACTGTAATAGTTCAATTTTGCATAAAAACTTATTCGGTTTTATATTGTTTTTTCTATTTGAACTACAGTGGGTTCATTGTAAAGATGGGATACATTTACCATTCAAGGAATATTTTTAAAAAAAATATATTGGAATCTGCACATACTTCTTTCACCACTATATCCACTTATCATTTGTTTGTCTACAAGGTTATTATCATAGAACCGTTTTTTGACTGCTACCAGCCAATGGTGAAAGCTGCAGGTGGAACACCAGTCTTTGTGCCACTGAGGCCTGTATGTTGGTTTATTGATCGTTACCATTCAAAGATTGTGTATCAGTTAAAAACCCTCTTTTTGCATCTAACTGGAACTATTAAAAATAAAAATAAAATATTCTCTTTTAAAATAAATTATTTTTATCCCAATTGACAGAATTTTTAGAAGACAGGTTTATATAAAAGTGTATAAAATGAACTGTAGTTAGTTACACCCTGTAGTTATTTTGTGTGGGAACCACTGTTTGTTTGATATGTGTCCTTTTATTCTCCGGAAGACTAAAGATGGAAGCGTCACGTCCAGTGCTGACTGGAAGCTGGACGAGGGTGAGCTAAGCAGTAAATTTAACAGTAAGACAAAACTCATCATTGTCAACACTCCCAACAATCCACTAGGCAAGGTCAGTACAGGCATACACATCTCATCTATCTACCAACGCACACCTCGTCTACAGAAGAACATCTCATCCATCTACCAATGCATACCTCATCTACAGAGAAACATCTCATCCATCTACCAACGCACACATCATTTACAGAGGAACATCTCATCCATCTACCAACGCACACCTCATCTACAGAGGAACATCTCATCCATCTACCAACGCACACCTCATCTACAGAGGAGCAACTCATCCATCTACCAACGCACACCTCATCTACAGAGGAACATCTCATCTATCTACTTGTGCATATCTATCTGCACTTGTACAACTCATATATCTACACATTAACACTTCAATTCTCTGCACTTGTACATACTTACTTTTGTGCTACATACTAATTTATTTTCCGTGTTTTAAGTACCTCTTTTTTTTAATAATTAACTTATCTTTTTAAGTATTATCTTTTTAAGTATTTTATTAGCACTGGTTTAGAAGGCCAGGCCTCTGTTGTTGTTGGTCAGTCGGGAGTTGACCATGACCACTTTAATCTACAGAGTTTGTCCAGGCCTCTACTTAAAACTTGACCTATGCAGGTTTAATACTTTACCAATGCAGTTTTAATACTTGACCAATACAGGTTTTCACCAGAGAAGAGCTCCTCGTCATTGCCAACCTGTGTAAGAAACATGATGTTGTGTGTGTGGCTGACGAAGTCTACGAATGGATGACTTATAATGGCAATCAACACATTAAAATTGGTTGGTGAATTTGTACTGATAATTAAATGCGATAAAACTTTGCAATGTTGTCTACAATTTACTTGAGATGCCATTTTTCTGATATATTTTATTAATATTTTAACTTGAGGACAGTGGTGGGCCACAGATGTAAAATTCTGCACTCAAGAATTGGTCCATAAATGAGCCAAATAGTAGTGGTCCATAAAACCAGCCAAATATTAGTGGTTCATGAAACAAGCCAAATAGTAGTGGTCCATGAAACCAGCCAAATAATAGTGGTTCATAAAACCAGCCAGTCAGTAGTGGTCCTTGAAACATGAAACCAGCCAACCAGATGTGTTTAGCTAGGCTGAAAGGGAAAACTTCAAACAGTGGAGATCGTGTTAAGATCTTCATTTTCATAATCTCTTGTGAAGTACGGGGTGTCGTTAAAAAGCCGTATTGCTTTTCCTCCTTTGCATTTTTAGGAAGGCGAAATTGTTTACCTTTGAAATGGTAGAGTTTAAAATATTTGTGTCATTTGCAGCCACTTTGCCAGACATGTGGGAGAGAACAGTCACCATCGGCAGTGCTGGGAAGACATTCAGTGTTACGGGCTGGAAGATTGGCTGGACGGTAGGACCACAACATCTGGTCAACTGTGCTCAAATCATGCATCAGAACTGCACTTACAACTGTCCAACACCAATACAGGTGTGAATGACACTACATACAATAGTCCTAGTGCGTCCATAGCAAGTGTTTCTGAGTTCAGGTCTATGTCCATGGGTTTGAAGGTCACTTTTAGACAATCTTTAAGGTGTTTTTTTCTGCCCACCAATTAAGCATTTCCCTCTTAAAAGTTCATCTGACATTAGTTGTTGTAGGCAATTCTATTGTCTGACATAGTGCAACATGTCCTGCCCATCTGTCTTGTCCTTTTTTTCTTTTTTGTTTTGTTTATATGGATAATACCCAAACTAGAGCTGACAGGATTTATATTTAGTCTTGCTGACTCAAGATTTAAAAAAAAATAAAGATCTTAGAAAAGGTTACTGACTAATTCTTAATGACTTTGATACATATTTTAATTGTAATTTCTTCTAGTCTGAAGTGGTTTGCAACCGATGCTCAATGGGGCCCTAAAACACTATTAACTTGTAAGACATAGAGTAGGCCTGAGGGCTCCCCCCGCCCCATAGAAATTGATTCTCATAGGGCCCTGCAACTGAAAAAGGTTGGGGACCTTTGCTCTAACTAAAAGTCAAATCTATTCTGAACTGCAGGAAGCTGTGGCCCGTGGGCTGGAGTTAGAAAAGTCAAGACTGGGCTCCCCTGGCAGCTATCTCATATCTTTGGCTGCATCCCTGAAACCAAAAAGGGACAAACTGGCAAGTGTTCTGGAGGAAGTTGGCATGAAGCCTGTCATACCAGAAGGAGGCTACTTCATGATGGCTGATTACACCAGCATGGGTTTGTGAACATCTATTTCATTGTAATATTTGTTTGGTGTTTTTTTTTAATGTATTATTTTGATAATTAATTATGTCTTGTTTCAAAGCTCAAAAATAGAACTTATCAATTTCCTCTGCAGTCGCAAAGCATCTTTAAGATGGAGGATAAGGATGCTGGCTGCCATCTCATGCCATTTTGCACTCATATAGATACAGTAGAACAGGCCTTTCGTTTGTGGGAAAGATTCATCTCTACTGAAATAAAATGTTGAAAAAAATGTGTGGTTTTTTTTTATGCAGCCTACAATAAAATCTCAGACGAAGACACACTGACAGCTTCAACTGAGTTCTTCTTCATTGGATTTAAGAAATTATAGTATTAAAATGAAGTTACACCGACCATGGTATAAATTATTTAAGTTAAAGTGCAATCTGAAATAATCAAAGTTAACAGAATTATTTCAGGAATTTTTATTTCATTTTCAGAGGCCGATGTTCCTGAAAGTGATGAGGCCAAAGATTTTAGATTTTCTAAATGGATGACCATCAACAAGGTAAGACACTAGCCATATTTTTGGCCATTCACCTTATGTTATTAGCGACTTAATAGCCCAATTATTTTTATCTTTTTAAACCGTTCCATTTAATTTTATCCTCCTAGAAATTGACAGTGATACCTCCCTCTGCATTCTACTGTAAGGAACACGAGCACATGGCTGAAAACTATGTCAGATTTTGTTTTATTAAGGTAAGTTGGCATTGCGTAAATGATGATGCATTTTCGTGGCATTCAGAATTATGTTCAGACCGATTTTTTTTAATGTGAGAACTTTCTTTGGAAACATTAAAGGAACTAATATTATAAGTGATAAAATGAGTCATTCTGTAAACATTTTTTTAAAAATACACAACTGCCACTAATTAAGCCTGAATCAATACATTGTTGAAGGCAACCATTCGTATAATGATGATAATTTGAAAAGCTAATTGCGATAATGAATCTAAATATTTGTATTCTTTAGGAGGACAGTACTCTAGAGAAGGCAGCAAATGTCCTTCGTCACTGGAAAAATTGATGTTAAATTTTTGTTTAGGTAAATTTCTTTTATAATGTGAGTTGTTCCTGCCTCTGGTTGATAGTTGTATATACAGATTTTATATTTTATATGGTTTAGATTAAGTTTACATTGACAGATGTTACATTTTAAATGGTTTAGATTAGGTTTACATTCATACATCAGGGTCATAATATAGAATAATTCAACTAAAATTGTTGATGCTTGCTGTGGGGATGCTACACCCAAATGTTGCATGTATTTTAAGTATATTAGTGGGGACAAGATATGTTTAGGCTTGAAGACAAGACAATTAAGCTGATGTTTTGGGTAGCTGCATGTTCTGAACATTGAGCTACACTGTCTTTATTGGGATCTTCGTAAACAAAAGTTTTATTTATTTAATTTAAATTTATCTATTGTTTATTGTATTGTTTTAACGAAGGCATCTTGCCGAGATGTCCACTTAATTGTCATGTCTCTTATTTTCAAGCATTAACACTTCTTGTTCCACTATTTATTTACTTTACATGGCTTGAACACAGTATCTAAATTTATTTATTTATTTACCTCAATTTTTTTTAATGTATCCATCTTTTTTTTTTTAGGTGAAAATGTTATTTACTTTTGGGTGTTGCCTTACAATACTTACATGAGAATAAATCAATCTATTATGTTGTTGTTTTTTGTTAAATTAATTATTTTATTGTCATTTCTCTTATTTTTAAGCATTTACACTTTTTTTTCCACTATTTATTTTCTTTACATGGCTTTAACTCAGTTTCTAAATTTATTTATTTATTTACCTCAATTTTTTTTAATGTATCCATCTTTTTTTTTTTTAGGTGAAAATGTTATTTACCTTTGGGTGTTGCCTTACAATACTTACATGAGAATAAATCAATCTATTATGTTGTTGTTTTTTGTTAAAATAATTAATAATATTAAGAAATGTATTTGTTACTTTTCTGGCTGCCTGTTTATATAATTAATCAATAATTATTGAACTACTGAATCTGTTTCTATCAGTGATTTCCAATTTTCACTCCTTCAACTTGTATGTTGAATGTTTGGAAGAAATTCCATTGGTAAAATGTATTTAATGTAAGTTTATGAAAATGTTGTTGTTTTGTTCTTCACAGTTTAAATTAATGCAATTGAAAAGACTGGTAACTGAAAAAATGTTGCTTCTTAATATGTCTTCTTTTGATATTACTTGAGTGGTTATTAAATGATGTCCAAAATAGAAGGCTCTGACTTTTGTGGTGACCTAGATTAGAACATTAGGAAATTGTTTTAAGCTACTTCAATGCCTTTTTCTATTATAGTATCCTTCATTTTTATTGTATACCACTTATATTAACTTATAAGAAAAGATATGATAAATTTCTGCCTTAAAAAGGTGATATTATAATTGAATTATAAAATTAGATCATAGATTCATCAATATTTATCCTACACTCACAAATTTGGTCAGGATATTTGTTATCCTGATTCTACACCCAATAAAGATAATCAGAGAAGTGTCATGTGACGTTTTTGCCCTGTGTTTTATATTATATTCCTGAACTGAAATACATTTTAAATTACATTTTTTGATAGAAAGACACGATTCTGTAATTTAAAGATACTTTTTTTAAAAAAATGTATTTAACTTACTTTACTTGTTAGTTTACTGATCCCAGAATGAGATATTATAATGTAACCTTTGTTGAAATAACAAAAGTATATTTGTATTTTAAAAAATTAGCAACAATATTACTTTTTGTTTTTTAAAATACAAATATATTTTTTGGCTCAAAAAAGGTCAAGCCAGTGTACTTGATGCATTTGACAGACGCTGTGGTTCTTAGTTCATCCTCCGTGGTGTATTTATTTTAAGATTCATTTGTAGAAACAGAGTAGGGAGTAATTATTCTATTACCCATTGGTAATAGGCAGACTGTTAGGTGACAATAAACCAGTGACTACTGGTAAAACTCTCTCCTATTTAATGTTCATTTTATTTTTAATTCTTTATATTTAATCCGCTTTTGTTCGTGGGCGCGGCTGGCAAAAACTTGGTCCATAAACTCATTAACTATGACAAAGATGCTATCAAATTTTCAGCGGCGCACCCCACCCCCCTCCCCAAAAATCTTTTTTTTCCTGTTTTTCTAGGGCAAGATGGAGGAAATATGATTTCACGAAATAAAATTCCATATAACAGATAAAATATCGCAAGAGCATTCGGTGCGTAACATTTTCTTTTGTTTTTCTGAAATAATTGGTAAAATTAATCGGCGGTGTGAAAGCGGGTGGGTCATTAGAGTATTAATAAAGTTCAGGGGCAACATTTAACTGGGATGCTTATTACGCACTTTGTGCATGATTTGTCACATTTTCAGCGACCCCCCCTTTACTTGATATTACAATAAATTTCTGAAGGATTTACACAAAAACTTGTTTTTTAGGGGTTGCTTAGTTAATGACTACACTGACTTGAGCTCCTCAGAATACCGGTCAAGAAATGCTTCTCTTATTTAACAAGAGGGAAGTTTTGACTTGTCCATACAAAAAAAAATTTACTGTAGTATTTTTTTCCAATAAGTAAAAACCTCATTAGTTAACTAGGATCAACTAAATTTATTCATACTAACAGTTAATGAATTATTTGTTTTTAGTGATATATTTATTATTTGATTTTTAAAAAATACATGCATTTATATAAGCAGTTCTTGTGTTCCTATTAACTTTCAACACACTTATTCTGTGAATATTTTATTTATTGTGTAAAATATACATTAAAAAAAACACTTGACAGGTTATTTGTTACATAAAAACCACAGAGTATTACATAGGCAAGATTTATTATAATTATATCAAACGGATACTTATTTAAAAAATACTTATAAAATACAATGCTAATGTTTAATGTTACAGTTACACAAATACGCTTTTTACAATAAACAATGAATCAGTTGACAGTTCATCGACTGGGAATTAAGCTCACGGTGAACACATTAATTATTAGGTATTCTTGTTTTATGTTGAGAATGGAAAATAGATTAGATCTAGTGTTTAAGGTCTTTGATCAAAAAGTTGTTTTTTTAAAATTATATTACTATTTAACAATACATGACTATAGGCTTGGAACAAAGTCTGGCAATAATAATGTTAGAGATGCTGTGTCCAGTACTGTAACATTAAGTCCTGGAGATAAAAATTATCTTCAGTATGGCAATATGCTATAAATCTTTCTGCAAAAATAAAGCCTGGACAATGAGGCAAAGATAACACTTGAGGCAATTCTATGAACTCCAAAGTGGTCCAATTGGTCTCTGTGGACCACAAGTTAAGAAGCCCTGTACAAAAAATAGAGACAATAAATGTAGAACTAACCCAGATAAATCTACAGTTCTCCAAAACAAATGGTGGGCATGAGGACCCCATTGAGGAGACAGCGTGCTAGAATGCAATAAGATCTTAGCTTGTAAAGTGGGTCTCAAATTCTACAACTGAAATTTATTTTGAATGCTCAAGGGCTGAAACATGTGTAAAAACCGTGTTTCAAGGGAAAGTCAAGAACTTGTCAGTGTTACAAGGGAAAGTCAGTGCTACATCAGTGTCACAAGAAGAGGCCAGTGTTATAAGGGAAAGTCAGTTTTATATAATAAGAGTAAGTCAGAGTTACAAGGGAAATCAGTGTTACAAGAGTAAGTGAGTGTTATCACTGTTACAGGGGAATCTCAGTGTTAAAAAAAAAAGTCCGAGTTGCAAGAAAATGTTAGTTATTGATTTAGACCATTTTCAAGAATAACACATAACTATTATTTCCTGCCACAATTGTTCACATATATCAAGGTGTTTGTGTTGTTTTTTTAATTCAGGAATGCAGATTTCCTAAAAAAACAACTACAACTATAATGCAATATCAAACAAATAAGAGGACATTACTGTAGTACAAAAACAATCACAGTTTTTTTTTTTTATTATTTGAAAAAAATAATGGAACATACAAAAAAATTGTAATGAACTGATAAAAGGATATACTGTACATCCACAAACACATAGGGGGGGGGATGCAGGGGGGAATATGTAGAGATAGATAAGGTGAACAAAATAGCACAAACTTTGAAAGAAATCACAGCCATAACAATAGTTGTATGTGTAGCCAGCATAATAATCCTGTTTGTTACCACAATCCTAATGTCCAAAAAAAACATAAACAAACATAATTTTTTTTCATGCTTCTCAAATTGGTGGTCCCATACCCCAAAGTCATGGGCTACAACTCTGTATCTTCATAATGTTGCGGTACTCTGTAAGCAAAGAGCTAATCGAAAAGTCAAGGGGTGTACTGTAAATGTAATACATTCTTCCATTCAACATGTTTATATTGAAATCTGTTTTCACTTTACTCTTTCTTGATCAAAGAGAGGCTGATGCCCTGGATGTTGAGTCAAACCAACTTTTCCTACTCTCATATAAATATAAGGGACATTATATCATGTGAAAACAAAATTAACTCACCAACAAAAAGTTCTCAAAATGAAATTAGTTGTTAGTTTTTTTTTTAAAAGTAAAATAAAGTCAAGATCAGTGAATGATAACTTGGTTGCCAAAAACAATATCCCTACACAGAACTTTTAAACAGTCAGGACTTGCCAAAAATTGTTCATAGATTTATTATAAAGTATGTTGCATGAAGGCATTTCTATTTCAACCTGGCAAGCGTGTAATGTAAGGACACAGTCCTTTGCGCACGTCTTCAATGTTAGATCGGCAATGACCTTATGATGGTGAACAAGTTGACAAGGATTTTCTTTCACCTGAAAACATTTGAGAGTGAAGCAAGAGCCTAAAATGCATATGAGAATTTGATACAATATATTGGTCTTATCTCCATTTCAGTGTTTGAGAACTGTTGTATTTTGAGCTCACTTCAGATAAATAAATCAACATCCCAGTTAGTTCTAGGTCACAAGTAATGGGATAGTATGTCACATTTCTAGGGGAAGAACCTCATAAGAACAATGCACGACTACTGTAACCAGCGGGGACCAAAAAAATAAATAAAACTTATTTTATCTAAAAAATTTAAGACTTAGAAAATTTTATAGAATATGTTGTCATCTGCAACAATTCTATGGGCTTTAAGTTTCAGCTTAATAGGTTGACGGGAAGTGTGACAATTCGCTGTCAGAATAATATGTCAGCCACCTAGGCTGCCACGAACAAAAGCCAAGTTAATATAAAGGATTAAAAAAAAACCAACTGCATCACATCATTTCTGGACTAGATGAGTGAAATAAATCCAATCAACAGCAAACATTCTAAAAGTCAAAATTGATTATTTCAAGGAATATAAATAGGGAACAACAGTTTTAAAAACATCAAAATTTTGTAAGTGGTTTAAAAAGAAAAAGTAAGAAAACTTGACCAACTACAAATAAAATTACAGAAACTATAACAATACTGATAAACTTCTTTTTTTTTCTTTTTCATGTCTGTGATTCTTGTGAGATTTTTTATTCTTGTAGTTGTTTGTCTTCATTGGTTGACATGCTGTTCATCATTTTGAAATAACTAACTGTAAACCAAAGTGAATGGTCAATAACTGTGCAGCAAGTCAGTGCCAACAAAAGAAATCTCTCATTTTAAATTTAAAAACAGACCAAAGAAATAAAATACTAATGGCACTGTCTGTTATTATTATGTCAGTGAATACATTTCATTTACATTTTCCCTTGTTTTCTTTCTTATCCTCGTGAAGTGCTGTTGAGGACATCCGCAGATATTGCTTTCCCATTGCCATATTTTATTTTAATCTGTATGTCCGTTTTCAGTTTTGTGTGAATTAAATCAACATTAAATTAAAAATGTGAACTACAAGATTGAACCAGACAATTATTTGATATAATAATGGTAGGTAAGGATTGAAAAAAGACAATGACATACACAAGAATGTGATATGGAATTTCATAAGATGTCAAATTATGAAGATTGGATTTATAATCAATAATTTTTTCAGAAGTCACAAGTCCAATAGTGATTTTTTAAATTAAAGTTTTGGGAAACCAATTCAAGTCAGGAGTTGAGAAGAAATATATCAGTTTTTTTTTAAAAATCTCAGTTGCATTTATTCACAACTTAGACAACTGTCACTGGTTCGCTACTGTGTTTAATCTCAATAAAAAATAAAACTGTAAATACTTTAAAACCAGGACTGCCCAAACATGCTCACTGGGGGCACACAAGATATGGAGGTAAGAAAACCACAAAAGTGATATGTTTCCTTGAAGAAGATTTAAATGGGAGGGTAACTTTATAATAAAAATAGTCTACAAACGGTTGCAGTTCCTTAACATAAATTGATGGGGGTCGGGTGAGAGAGCAGTCAGTAGCAGTCCCAGGGAGGTCTGAGTGGTTTGAACGCACCAGATGCCATCTTTTTTTCTTAGTGTTAAAAATCAACAAGTACAAAAATGTTAACATTTTGAGTAAATGCAGGAACACCTCCCACCTTTTGGTGGCTCCACCGGTGGAGGTTATATGTCTTAAACTTTACAACTAAAACAACTGCTTCTCGTCAGCTATGAAAAAAATGATATTACAAAAATACAGCAACTTACCCTGGGTTAATTTTCACCAAACTACAACAGATTTCATAGAATTATTCTTAAACAATTTTTTTCCCTGTAAATATTTTCAAATATAATGAATTTGTAAAAAAAAACAACCAACATTCAAATAATCTGAATTATTTCTAACTTATGAAATGTTATGCGCAATCACTTCTATGGATGGATCATTTTTTTCTTAGTCTATTTGTATTGTAGTAATGGAATGAACATATGAAAGCATTGAATTTAAAGATTTTATTAACAAAACATATGTTATTTATGAGAAATTATTAGTCATTTGAAAAAGTGCTGTAAGGCAAATTTATTTACAATGAGAAAATAGTTTTTAAAATTACAAACCATAAAAATAAACCTGTTTTATAAAGGGATCAAAATAAATGAAGACACTTACGTTTATAATTTTAAAAAAAAAAATTACAAGAAGTCTAAAAATGCAAATGATGACAGAACACAATGTCCATGTTCTAAGGCAATCCCTGTTCACCTTACAAGAGAGCTTGCAAAGGTCAGGTTAAATGCTTTCATTCGGATAGTTTAACATTAACAAAAACTTATGGCTTGTTGTTTATAAAAAACTGATCAAAAACCAAAGTTTCTATTTCTGAAATACTTTCTAAACCTTAACATGAAAGGCTGTCATAAAATACTTCAACTTTAAGAAGATTTTTCTTGCAATAGGGAACAGCTCTCCCATAAAATAAAGTGAAATTAATACAATCTATGGCACAAATCTATGACAAACATAAAAAATGATGATATAGAAAAGAGTCACATCAAACAAACAGCTCATTTTATTGAAAAAAATATATAATAAATACTAGTAAAAGTGACTTAACAATAATTGGTTTTGGAAATCTGATTTTAAAAAAAAAATTATCATTTTTTAAATGGCCCTATATATATCATCATGCAAGAAACCTATAAATACTGACTTCCACACAGAAGAGGATCAACCAGGCAGCCATCCCCCTTGGATTTCATAACAATTCCAAATTTTTAATGTGCAAGCAACGGCAGAGGACTCTGTACATGGGTTGTTAAAGCAAGTATCGGAGTAACTAATTTAGGCTGTGCTTTTTTAATATTAATAAATGTTAAAAATTTGCCAGGTTTTTTGTAACCTTCAACACAAAAATTAAAAAAAATATTGATTCAATTTTTGCTTGTAAAAAAAAATATTTAAAAAAAACCAATGCTGATTTTCAAAACCAATTTAATCTGATTCACTTCCATATAAAAAAACCATATTCAGATAAAGTGTATTCTCTTTAAAGATTGCCTTATAAAAATTTTTAGGCATGAGGCTTTCAAATATATAGAATAAACCCATCGAGAATGTCAAACCAGGGTAGGCATAGGTTCTCTGCTGAGAATGTCAAGCCAGGGCAGGCATAGCTTCTCTGCTGAAAATGTCAAGGACACTACAAAAACATGATTACATTTAAGAAGTGGGTAAAATTAAGTTTACAGCACAGCTCATTACAATTAAATCAATCAACCTAGAGTGTGTAGATGGTTCCACACAGAAGATAGTTTCTAATAATACTACATTCAGAAAATCATGGGAAGTATCAGAAAATACTTGTGCTAAATGGTCAACAGAAACAACACATTGGGCGGAGGGAGGTGCTCTTATTATACCCATAATTTATAGCAGCTCTAAAGCACACTGGATACACCAGGTTTACTTGTTTCTATTTTCCCCCCAAAAAGCCATATTTTTTCTCTCCATTTTATACCTTAGCTATGCCCTGGTGGCCAACAGGCATACCTTATAGTTAAAAGATGAAAGAGCACAAGACATTGCACAGCTGAACATTTCAGATTTCTCACCTTCAAGTCTAGAATATCACTTACCGACAGCCAACTTAAACTTAACTTAAATCTACAAAAAAACTGGCCTGCTTTGGACAAAAAGAGAATCAATGGCGGAACTTTCAAACACAACAGTTCAGAGACAGATTTGTTCAGTTTTCTTAAGCAATGTAATATTACTAAGATTATTCAAGTTTACTTCATTCATTATAAGAAGAATGTTACTGTGGATGTGAATTTGAATTAAAATAAATACATCACTGCGGTAATGGTTCGGGAATCAAGATGGGGGAAGAGAAATTCTTATCTTTGCTGAAATGACCGCCCTGCACAGTGGACATTCTTTGATGGGTAGGGCACAGGCAGCACAGCAACAGACATGGCCACAGGTCAGGAATATTATAGTAGACTGGGGAAAACACAAAGAAAATGATTGAATGAGAAAACATCAGGCAATGACAGAAACAAGCAATCATGTATAGAATATAATTATCAAAGATATAAAGTTATGCTTAAATACTTATAAAGAGTCTAATTTTTTTATTTTATTTTTTAAAACATAGTTGACACAGAGTAGAGCTCAGAAGTCAATAATTGTAAATGAGTAGCAGATATGACATGAGACCTCAGCTTGAAATTATATATCTCAAATGTGTATTTGGCCAAAACCAAACATCCCCCCAATGGTAGGCCAATATATTTTCGACAACTTCCAAATTTCATATCATCTGTCAGAAGACATCAGAGATTTCTAAATTTAAATTTCTCAATGACATGCCACAAAACCACCCATCTGTCATTAATCTTTCAATCTAAATTATTTACATTCTCCTTCAAAAGCCCCTAAACTTAAAAAACTGCCAGTTTGTAATATTGTGACCAAAAATCTGATGTTGAGCCCAGGCTGTTCCACAATTACTTACCTGCTTATCAAGACAGACGGCACACTCTGAATTAAGTCCCCTGGCCGTGACTGACAGCTGTCTCTCCAGCAGAGCCGGTGGCAAGGAATGCTGCTTGGGAATTTCTGGACGAGGTGGTGCTGACGGCTGGATCTCGTGGGGTGGAATGAACTGTTCCTGATGAAATAAACATGAACAAATTAAGAAACTGGAGCTGCACTATCATTATCCAAGGTAACATCGCCTTATGTCTCTGATTGTTAGATTTGAAATTATTAATTAAATTAGATATAATAATAATTATTTTTACACCCCGTAGCTATTAAATAACTATTTTAATCTGATTTTTATATCTTTAACAATATAATGTTATATCTCTAAGTAAGTTAATATTAGGAAAAAAATGTTTTCCTAAATTGTTGACCTGCACCCTTTAATATATCTTGACAAGTGCTCTTTTTTTCTTTTTTTTTTAATATTATTTCTTTATAATCTACTTTTGTTGATCTAGCTTTAGTAGTCCTACACAGTCTTAAGATTTTTTTTAATGAGTCTCTTAAAACCAGGGTAAGTGCCAAAGAAATTACGAAAAGCTGAGTTGAGTTATGTGAACACAGTGATCACCTGAAATGAGATCTTTGGTAATTTGAAGATTATTTGACTGAGAAATTGAAGTCTAACAAAAAAGACAGAAATTCCACCCAAAAATCTGTATCCCGCTCACAGTTTGGACAAAGACTTACCCTATTCTTCTCTCTGTATTCATCCATGACAGTTTTCTCCTGGTGACCCAGATGTTTAAGAATAGATTTCCTGAGCCCCATCTCGTGCACTCCCATCTGACTCAGGTCTTGGTCTGTTAGGGTCATCATGGTTTCTATGGTGATGCGATGCCGTGCAAACAAGGGAATGTAGTCCTCGGCCCCAGATGTGACGAGGATGTCTTTGACTGCGATCTCAAGCTGGCTCTCCTGATTAGGAGATTCAATTTAAGGTTTAATATTTAATAAAACTATCAATAGGACAACTAATAGGACGACTAACAGAAAAACTAATTATACACTCGATAGAACAATACATTAGACAACTAATTGGTCAAACATTAGGACACCAGCTTATAATTAAATATTCTATGAATTCAGTCAATATTTTGTTGGAATTCATCTTCCCTATATTTAAAATTCAAAATATTTATCTTGTATTAAATAAGTCAGAATACAAAGTTGGCAGAGGTGTTGATTCTACAAATATGATAATGTTATATTTACAGTAATCTGCAATACCAGCATGCCAAAGCCTTCCAACCAGCTTAACTTAAGAATACAACAAACTTCTCTAAAATTTTAAAATTACTGACAAAAGACAGTCTTATATATCTATATATTAAAAATTGCTCTCCATTAGTTTATAGAAGACAGAAGGTTTAAAAGTTGTGTATAGTATAACTAATCCAGTGAAAATAGATTATTATTATTCCTTAACACATACAGGTTGACACCTATTTTAGCCCTTCATTGTTCATTTTTTCAAATTTGGCTCAATTCCCCTGACAGACAGGAAAGTTTCCTCATATTCTAGACCTAGGCTCCAGTCACATACCCACCCCGCTCAACTACCCATTACTACCCCCCAGTATCCCATGATGGGGAAGTCAACCGCAGAGTTATCATTTCATTCTTCTCTCCAGCTTCCAGCCGTGCCGGCCCCACCCGCCCACTCACCCGGTCGATGAGGGCTTGTGGCTTCCAGTCCAACAACCTCTGGTATTGTGCTAGCCAATAATCTTGTTGACCGTCCTCCCTTTGTTGTTCCATCTCGATCTGATCAGCATCAACATCAATTATAACAAAAAGAAAGATAAACCTTGTTCATATTTAGATTTTTAAGAACAAAATTTAACAATTTGAGAGGAAGTTACTTTTCGTTGTAATTTTAAAAATTAAAACGTAACGGTTTTAGCTAGGGAAAAACATTGAAAATGCTATTTGCTTATTTCACATTCAAATTCAAGATTAATCACTAAGATAGTGTACAGTATTTAAAATCAAAATAAATCTTAACATATTTTCCTCAAATGCAATGCAGTTTAAAAATAAACTAAAAATATAATCAAAGTTTAAACTGACCAATCTCTTCTTTAGCTCCCTCTTTCTTTTCTCTTTCTCCTCCAGTAGCTGAGACAACATGGCAGACAATGCCACTCTCTGATCAGCCACAACATTCTGCCAACAGGAAATATTCATTATATAACCAGATAATCACTTGGAGGTCTCTGCTATGGGTTCAATTCAAGTTCTTTTCCACACAAGATTTTGGCCTGATACAATCCAAATCACAATACTTTCATCCATGGCCAGATGTTAATGAATAGAAAATGAAACAACTTTAAACTTTTTGACAGCAGGCACTCATGAAAACCACAATATTGTCATTGGAATAACATTGTCATCAACATTCAACAATGTCATCAACATACAACATTGTCATCCCCAAGCAACATTGTCATCAGCATACAACACTGTCATCAACATGTAGTGCTGTCATCAATATGCAACATTGTCATCAACATATAACATTGTCAATATACAACATTGACAACAACATACAAACTCATGCTCCATGCGCCTGGCCCTCTGATCCATCTCCACAGCTGTGAGCTGGGCAAGTTCAGACTCAATCAGAGCAATCTGGGCACGAATACGTGAGTGAGCAGAGTCCTGTGAGATCAGCAGGGCCTCAAATGCTGTCTTTTGTAACTCTTCCTGTAGTGGAAAATAGAGATGGATGAACTCTGAGTTTGTGCAAGGAATATGGAGCAGATTTTAGATATCTGATCAACAACTGTTAATTATAAGTCATAATTACTAATTTTGTATTTCATAATCCTGAAGTAGTTAGCAAGGTTAACAAAACCTATGAAATAATATTTTATTCTGCCTTCTGGAAGGGGAATATTTATTATAAAAATGATATACCTGGCTAAAGTTAAGCACGGATCTCAATACAAAAATGTTAAAACTCTCACCTCCTCTGCCAGCTTGGAAACCAATTTCTTATTCTCTAGGTCCTTGTAGTCCATCAAACTGTGCATCTGACCAGCACTGAAGTTCTCCCTTGAAGCATGAAGACAACGAATATGTCATTGTAAGCAGAGCTGGACACAAGAATTAGGTTTCAGCCTCCCATCCCTAATCCCAGTCCTGGAAACAGGAAGTGGACATAAATATCCCATTCCTAATCCCAGTCCTGGAAACAGGAAGTGGACATAAATATCCCATTCTTAATCCCAGTCCTGGAAACTGGTGGTGGACATTAATATCCCATTCCTAATCCCAGTCCTGGAAACAGGTGGTGGACATTAATATCCCATTCCTAATCCCAGTCCTGGAAACTGGTGGTGGACATAAATATCCCATTCCTAATCCCAAATCTGGAAACAGGTGGTGGACATAAATATCCCATTTCTAATCCCAAATCTGGAAACAGGTGGTGGACATAAATATCCCATTCCTAATCCCAGTCCTGGAAACAGGAAGTGGACATTAATATCCCATTCCTAATCCCAAATCTGGAAACAGGTGGTGGACATAAATATCACATTCCTAATCCCAAATCTGGAAACAGGTATTGGGCATAAATATCCCATTCCTAAGCCTGTGTTATTTGTTGTCCAAAAATGCTTTGATAGTGAAGAAAATAAATGAAGGACATTGAACTGCCTAAGGATTACTGCACTCCATATTGATTCACCAATTACTCACATATTCTGCAAGTGACCCAAATGAACAGCAGAAATAAAGTTTTATATATATTGCATTAAAGTTAACACTGTGGTCTTGACTCATGAAAACCCCAAACACCAAAATGTGCCGTGGTCCTGGGCCTATACCTACTCAAAGAATCCAACACAACAAACCACTGAAAAACGTTAGGAGCCTAAAAGAGATATCGACACAGTCAACTGGACACAGAGCGACACCCAGAGTATAACGACCAAACAACTCACTCGTCTATGGCATCTCTTAGAACCTCATCTTTGAAGAGTCTCAGATCCTCCCTGGCGGCCTCCATGCTGGCAAACTCCAATAGCATGGTCTTCATGTTGTCTGAAACGTACCACCACACAATACAAAATGACAGAGCACAAATAACACCAGTTGGCGTCAGCTTTTGTTTCATTGTTTTAAGCAAACTCAAAGCCAGTAAGCTGGGAGACTAATGTCCACACAAAAAAAAATTACAATAAATTCGAACAATAACTTGTAACAGTAATTATTTAGCAGAATTCATTTGCTTACCCAGGATTTCTTTTTTACGAATGTTCTGTAACTCTTCCCACCTGACTTTCAGCCAGTCTTCTTCTTTCATTCTAAGGAAATTAAATTTCTTTACAATTTTGTCGAATTTTTCATTATTTTCTATGACACTACTAAGTTTAAAAATTTAAACTGACAATTCAAAAAGTTTCAACTTTTAACTTGCCAATGTTTAAACTTTAAAAAAACAACAAATATAAACAGAAATGCAGATTTTTTCAAAAAATTTATAGTCTCATTTTCCTCAACCAAAAATGGAAATTTATTGTATGTTAAAAATGTTAAAACTATGGTTATCATGTGCAGTTATGCTGAGGCAGTGTAAAGAAATCATTTGGTGCCAGGGTCAGTTAGAGTATATGCCAGGGGCAGCGCTATTCAATGGTTTGTTATTTCCAGGATCCACTGCTGCTCTTCAACTCAAGTTTTACCACCTCAACTTGCATTCTCTCCCTTAAATTTAGAAACTTCTTTAAAAAAAAAATTACAAAACGTTCCCATAGTTACCTCTCTTCCTCCATCATCTCTAACAGCTTCTCGGTCTCCTTGGCTTTGGCATTGTAGTCCAATATCTGTGACAGGAGGCTGCTAGCACCATTCTCAACTGGGTAAAGAGTGGCCAGGAATTAGTCAGAGATTTCTTTGATTAACATTCCCACAATTTAGCAGCAACAGATTTAAACAACAGACTGACCAAAAAACAAAGGGCAATGTTGATTATTTTTCATTTTACTTGAAGCATTTTTGCAAAACTTCCAAATCTCTAAATTCTAAAGGAGATGAGTCTTTTTTTTTTCTTTTTTTTTTAAACAAACATTAAAAACTTAACCCATGGGTCTGCAAAACATTTTTTTTTTAATGTGGAGCCATTTCTATTAGTTACATCTGTGAGGAAAATATTTTGGTTGCCACAGGCATCATAAATAAGTACGAAAAAAGAGCCGCATCTATACCTTCACTAGAGGGACACCCCCCCCCGGCCTAACACGAACATTAAAAATCAAAGACACAGAGCAACCTTATTATTCAAAATGTGAGCTAATACTCTTTCCTCTCCCAGACAATCATGCTGGCAGATGTGGGCGCCATTAAAAGCCAAAATTCACTGATTTCCCTCTTAGTGGAACTATCAAAAATGAATCCATGCCCCCCAAACTCCCTTCATGTTACTCAGCTTACTGTCATAGAGATCCTTGAGAAACTCCTCCTTCTCTTTGTCCTTTCTGCTGTTGAGGTATTCAAGGTCCTGGGTATCTTGTTCTGTGTTCTGACCACATGAAAAATGTCATATGTAAGTCAATAAAATAGAATAAACACACAAGTAAGGGTGGTATAATCAAAGAGTATTAAGTGCTTATATGTACAATATCTGTCAAATATATCAATGAAAACATTTAAAATATAAGCATTAGAATTATATATTTCCAAAATTTGCAAAGGTCTTGAATATATACTACAATATCCAATGTCTACAAAAAAAAAATTCCAGTATTTACTACAATTTCCAATGTCTATTTCATTTTCCAATATCTACTTCAATTTCCATGATCGACTACAATTTCCAATTTCCACTATCATTTCCAATTACTAAAATCTTCAATATCTACCATAATTTCCAAAATCTACTTTCATTTCCAATATCTACAACAATGCCCTTTTCCAACTCTAATTTCAATATCTACTATCATTTCCAAAATCAACTACAATTTTCAATATCTACAACAATTTCTTGTATCCACTAGAAATTCCAATATCTGCTACAACGTCTAGTACACGCTGGTGATTAGAACAAACAAGTCGAAACTTTTGAAACTGATCTGCCCACAACACCTGTGTGATAGAAGACAGCAGCAATCTGTGGTCGTAAGCTGCCTGTGCGGCCAGCTGAGCCTGAGCTTCTTGTTCTGACTGTAAGATTCTCTCCAGCTCCTCTGCGTCTTTCCTCTTCTGATCCTGGAAATTCACATGGCAAATGTTGACTTTCAAAACACACGAATAAGGCAGCTAACAGATCAATTTCAAAACTGTTATAATAAATCTTTCCTTCATTTGACATCGTTCATGGAAAGGTCAGTACCAACTCATGTTGTTATTCTCAGCATACAAGACAACTAAACTGATAAAATTTACAAGTCAAATTAACTGATAACATCTACAGAATCTATTAAAAAACACAACTTACAAGGACAACTTGGTTAGCCCGTACTCCTTCCTGCAACAACAACAATAACAAAAAATGTTTTAATAATGAGTTTCTTTCAAGAGCATGTTGAAAACTCATATTTAAAGAAAATAAAGGAATATTTTTTTTTTTAAAGTAATATTTTACACAACTGTATTAAATCTAGCAATGTTAAAGGGAACTAACCATCATTTGTGATTCTATCTGTGATACATTCAAGTATCCATCACTGATGGAGGATTTCAGACCCTTGTTGGCTGCCTGTATTTTGAGCCAGTATTTAGACGGATGCTCATACTCAATGCCAGCCTCTATTGTAGGAACATTTTATAGCTCAGTAAAATGGCAAATTTGGTTAATTTTTAGCAAAATGACAAGACTGATAGGATGAAACACAAAACTCAAAGTAAATCTGATTTTTTGTTTCCTCCCCACTGCAAGAGATTAAGGTTTGTTTTTTTAAAAAAACATTTTAATGTAAATACTTACGGCTACACAGATACATCATGGTAGCTGCTGTACTTTTCTTGCATATATCTATGAGAAAATAGATGAACTCTCTATCAGCCTTGCATCTTTTTTTTTTTTTCTTTCTAAAAACAAATTCAGACAAATGATGAAACTTCATTCCCTTATCAAGTTATGGCTATTGTCAAGCTTGTACAGTTCCAGCAGTGATAATGTAAAGCATCACGCAAATCTTCCATTCCTCTCTTTATTATTAAAAGACAGCTTCACAAACAGAAGCATTTTTTGCTAATGACATTTAATTTCTACAAAGTATACTGACCAGGCGCTGGACTTTTCATTCTATCAACATCTAAGATCAAGGTCTCCAAGGCCTTGACATAACAGAGCTTAACAGGTAGACTGTCAATCTCATTGGTGGAAACATCCAGAGTTCTTAGACACTTGAGATGGCAGATGGGGTCTGGGAATGTCTTGAACTTGTTATCTGAACATACATTAACAAATACTGATCTGAACATACATTAACAAATACTGCTCTATAACACCTTGCAGTCCAGATTGACATGGGCTGACTTGCCCATCTATGCCATGACTCAATACTTACAGTGATAATGTTATATTTAAGTAAGGAGAACAAAAAATGAATTGCTTTTCTTTAACACATGAAGGTTCTAAGTCATCAGTAGAGCAGGCTCTACATTTCATTTTTTAATTTACCTCTTTATTTTTAAATAATTGTGCAAGACTGCAATTTAAGACAAGTTCATTAATTAAATAAAAACCGAGTTGGATGGTGCTTTTATGGAAAAACCACTTATGACCACATTGGCTTATAAATCTGCAATTTGAAATGTTTATTTATTTATTTTATCAAATAATGTAATTTCAGCCCAAGAATAATGAAATTTTTGGCATAGAGTGATAATGAAGTTCACATCAAAAGATTTAAGTTAAAACTTAACTCAGTTTCTGTTGCATTTATCAAATTATCTTTAACAGTTTACGCAAAGGAAGAAAATTTGGAAGTTTCATTTCTTCTCAAAGATAAAATTACTTGATCTTTCTTTGTAGATTTAATGTCAGCAAGGCTGGGATTTATAAAATGCTTTATCTTACATTATAGATTTAGTTTCAGTAAGACTGGGATTTATAAAATGTTAGATCTTACTTAGTAGATTTAGTTTCAGTAAGACTGGGATTTATAAAATTTTAGATCTTACTTCATAGATTTAGTTTCAGTAAGACTGGGATTTATAAAATGTTAGATCTTACTTCGTAGATTTAGTTTCAGTAAGACTGGGATTTATAAAATGTTAGATCTTACTTCATAGATTTAGTTTCAGTAAGACTGGGATTTATAAAATGTTAGATCTTACTTCATAGATTTAGTTTCAGTAAGACTGGGATTTATAAAATGTTAGATCTTACTTCATAGATTTAGTTTCAGTAAGACTGGGATTTATAAAATGTTAGATCTTACTTAGTAGATTTACTTTCAGTAAGACTGGGATTTATAAAATGTTAGATCTTACTTCGTAGATTTACTTTCAGTAAGACTGGGCTTTATAAAATGTTAGATCTTACTTCATAGATTTAGTTTCAGTAAGACTGGGATTTATAAAATCATTGATCTTACTTCGTAGATTTAGTGTCAGTAAGGCTGGGATTTCTTCAAAGGATTTGGGAAGAGCTTTGAGTCGATTTCCAGACAAATCTAATACCTGCAAGGGAGGTCATCATTTTTTATTAGGTGGAATGTGAAATTAACAAGTGATCATAAGCTGGAACACGCTCTAATTTTTGTAAGCATAATAGTAAACAGATAATATTCACTTCTATGAAATGGTGTGTTTGTTACATGTAAGCTGACACTCTCTCTACAGTTTGCACAAAGGTGTTGCAAATAAATTTGAAAAAGACATGGACCATACATTTTGACAGTAGGTGGTGGAGAAAAGCTTAGTGAGAACAAAAAACAAAACAAAAGTCTTTCCTCACCCATCCCAGATGGTGAGGCAACAGCTACCATAAATGAAAGTTAAACAACTCTGCTATCTTATCATCATTTTTAATTAGGTTCTTTCTCCTGTCCATCACATCTGCACACACCTACCTGTAGACTGACCAAGGCCCCAAAGTCTTCAGGCAGGGATTTGATTTCATTATTGTGAAGATCTAGTACCTGTTGGGGAGAAGAAAAAAAATGTAAGAATTTGTAAGAAGTTTGAAAGCTTTAACCTGTGCTTTATTTTATTGTTTGTCAAGAGACTGACTAGCTCGTTAAATGCAATAAAATAATAACTAAAATGTTCAATCAATGCTGAGAAGTGGCACAAATACGTCTTGGCCTTTAGAAAAGCATTGTAACAAATATTCAATTCTATCCTTTTTGGTTTTTTACTTTCTTGTGAGCAAACCAGTATAATGGCTCTTCCAAATAACCATAGTTTAAAAACCAAAAAACTTACACGAATAAGACTTAAATCACTCATTATTCCCCCTCCACCAAGACCTTGCAGCCAGTTATCTTGAAGCAGCAGAACCTAAATAAGAACAGAAGCATGTCTTTTTATCTAAAGTTGTTTTTATTTATTAAATCAAAGTTTGATGAGTTATTCAGTGCAAAGTAACAGATCCGTTTCTTGCACTGCTGACACCAGAAGTCAAATAGGTACCAACAACAAATAAGCCAGGGCACTAACTGCAACTTACTTGCTTCTGTAAGACACGGCAGATAGCATAGACACCTGAAGGAACCTTCAATTAGAAAAATAATAACACAGGTTTAAGTTCAAGAAACAGAAGAAAGGGTATTTAGAATAAATATATATATATATATATTTATAAGGTATCCATCTCATTTTAATTTCCAATGTTTTAAAAAAAAATTATGACACTGCTGTAATATAACACACTGAATTAAACATTCATTTACACACAAATTCGAGACCACAAATGTTTTGCATTCAATACCACATTTAAACAATGTGATGACATACCTCAGCCAGTTCACATGATGACAAGTCAAACCTGGGCTCTGGGTCTTGCTGGGCCTGCAAACAAACTTACAGTGTTAACCCCATATCCTATCTATACATTTGGAGGTAGGTCAAATATCCCCCGGGCCTGAGATGAAACACAGAAGTAGCATTCCCAGAGCGTTCACCTAAACCCCCAGTCATGGGATGAGCACTGAATGTACAAATTGGGTTTTATTCTCCAACCCCTTTAGTTTTTTTACACAGATGTTTGTTTAAAGCATCTCAAAGGACTTTATTCAAACATCAATTTTAATATGGACCAGTTGTACAGTCTATTTGTGGTGTTAAAAAATCATTAGTTGAAAATGGCTCAAAATCCCCTTAGAGTGAGAGGAAAGAAATTTATTCTAAGGTGAAAAGTGAAGATGTTTTAGTACTTAATAAAAGTATCTTTTCACTAAGACGGTGTTCTATTAGTTCCATATAGATGTTCCTGTTCTTCACAATATAATTAAAGAACATTTTTAGATTGAGGTTTATCAAAGGGGCAAATAAAGATTTACTACCAGCAACTCCAGGTCCTGCTGACGTTTTCTGCCTTTTTCACTCTGGCGCCGAAAGAGGGGCATTTTACTTGCGGATTCAGGTTTTTTGGTCTGACGGGATGACTCCCCTGTGGAAACATTGGATTTTGCAAAAGCAAATGAAATTTTTGATCTGAAAAAATTAACTATAAGTATTTTGCCTGCTTTATAAGAAAAATTATGGATTTTATGACACCGCAAGGCTTTATAATGGAAGCAATTAAGCAGAAATAGTTAAAATATACACAAATAAAAATATAAAACCTTAAAATTTTAATTAAATCTTTAGATATGTTTGCAAATTTGCATGATTATTATCGCTCATCTAATCTCTTAAAACAAAAAACACATTCTTTATAATCTTCCCCATAGATATCCAAACAGGTATAATTGTGAGGCACAACATTGTGTTAATAAAACAAGGAATGAAAATAGCATTGTCAAGGAATGATAAGCAGATTAATTGAAAGATTAGCATCCTAATTTTAACACCCTGTTCCAAATGTGAAAACAAGTTGCCTTAATTAGATCAGCAAACTAAAATATGCAAAATTTAACAAAGGTAAGAGCACAGCATGCACCCAATACCCAAAGACAGGATATTTAAGAGACAATTTTAATTAAAGCTTGTTTTTATAATGTGAACTTATGAGCAAGGAAAACAATTTAGCTGTAAATAATTTACTTGTGCAATAAATCAATCTTCACAAGGCACTGACTCCATTACACAGATCATTTTTATAAAAATTGACACTTATTTCTCTTAACAAAATCTAATGATTTTAAAGAAGTTATAAGATATAGAGCTAAATTCACTAAATTCACTCATTAGAAGAATGAAAAAAATTGTTTATAAAACATTATACAATACTGGTAGATGAGTGTGTGAATCATGTTGAAATAATTTAATACTCTCTAAAACAAATTTGGAACATAATTCAATTGTAATGAAGTTGCCTGATATCTTGTGAAGAGCCTAGAATTTTCATCATTAAACTACACAGTTTAAGACTTATCAAGCATTATTTACCTGCTTTATTTGTTTGCTGAAAACATCATATCTTAGACAACTTCATTACAATTGAATTATGTCACAAATTTGTTTTAGAGATTATTAAGTTATTTTAATTGAAGAGTGTAGAATGTTCATCATTTAACTAATTTTAACACTTCAAGCAAGATTCTCTTTTAATTTTTTTACATTAAGTAAAACGCAATGTATTTTTATTACACATGAAACCCAGTTAAAGAGTATGAAAGCATTTTTAATGGTTTTAAGATCTCTACACAATAACACTTCTTTTTAAGCTGTATTGTAAATTACTGTTAGTTATAAAACTACCAAGTAGTAAGAAACAAAAATTGTTAGCAAAGAAAGAGAAATATTTTTTGCATGTAAAGAAGTTAAAACCTTTTTTCTTTTTGCTGAAGAAAGTGAAAGGCATCCTTTAGACCTGTCATACCTGAAAATGAATTCATAACTTTTTCTCACATTAAGGGATTAATATTTTGCATGTTATCTTTCAGGGGCCAAAACGGCGCACCTTGCAAGATCTCCATTCAAAAGTTTCTAAAAAAAATTTGATATAATATACAGTTATAATTTAGAGTTTTGAACATTATGGAATTAATATTTCATTATAAATTTTGATTTCAAGATAGTTTCACACATGGGAAATTAAAAGTATTAAAATATTTGTGATTTTGCTGTTAGTGTTGCAGCATCTTGAAAGTATTTACTTGGCCAAACCTGTTGTATTGATTGACAAGACTAACAATCCCAAAAGATTATCTAAAATTATGTAAAATATAAAATGAGCAAACTTTTAAAAAACATGTACTTCACAAAGATTAGTGGCATAAAAAAAAAAAAAAAATTGGGCAGCAATTTTTTTTATAAATTGAGGGGTGGCATTTTCAGGATTAACCCCAGTTACTGCTTTTCCTCAGCATGGAACTGCACAGAGCATCCAAAATAATCATTCATTGAGGGTGTAAGCTTAAATTTATTTCACTGGAAAAATGATAGGGTTTTATCAGATGATCACTGAGTTTTTTTAGCAGCAGATAATTTTGGTGATGAAAATGAATGATTTAATTATTGGATAAGACATTTAGCACTTTTTCTTTATCAAATGTTACTCCCACGGTAGCAACCAGCCTTGATGGTACTAAATCAGTTGCAATAATAGGTTTTTATTTAGAGTAATATCGTAGCGGCACTCAAATAAGGGATTACCAAGCAAATATTCTTTGTCTGTGAGTCAACTCATCCAGTCCTAGTGCAAATTCTTCTACTTTTGTATGCTACACAACTTATCTATGCTAATCTCATCGATAGTTGGTAGGATGAATCATTTGCCAATTGTGTGTTAAGTTATGGTGTGTAAATATCTAGATTTAGTTATCAAAAATACATCCAAAAGACTATCAAGAGCCATCCCATCAGTCACACTATTTAAAATTTATTGTTAGAATTATTTCAATCGTAACAATAAATACATGTTTAATCATTTAATTTTAATATTATACTTATACTATACTCAGGTGTCTGCTAGGTTATTCCAATAATTTTATTATAGGCCTCGCCTATAATATAGGCATACATATATAGTATGTCACATGTCTATATACCCTATGCTTACTCTACACCAATGAATAAGTGACCAAATTCTCTAGGCCTAGGACTAGGCTTGATTGAGTATGATCGTTATCATCATGGTATGAGTGAGTGACAATCTACTACTCAATCTGGAGAATAGTCTTAATAGGGTATGTCATGATTAACAATTAACAAGTAACAGTACAGTACTATTCTAATTATATCATATCACAACAGTAATTATATAAAATATTAATATATGAATATGCCTATCTTAGTACACATTCAAATTATTGAATTACTATTCTTGTCAGTCTCATTCTCGTTTGTTGTTTCTGTCAAATTAAATTATTAAATAATATTATTAATAGGCATACCTTGGGTTATTTTTTAATAATAATAATTCATGACACTGACTGGTCTTGTCACAACTGTAACTAGTAACAAGTGACTTAAGTCACACTTAAGTGAAAGATTAGTGACACAAAAAGTAAAAGTCAGACAATCAAAAAAATACTTTAAATTTTAGTTCATAGAAATATATATAATATATATTATTATTATTATTAATTTTAATATATCAAAAAATAAAATAAGTAGGCCTACCTTTACGTGTTTTAATTCTATTAAATGGTGCTTTAATGAAATTCGATAAAGAAATTTTGGTTGTTCGTTTCACAGAATCACGGTTCAGTAATCACAGTGGGATTGTAAAAATTAAAATTTGTTGTCTTTGGTAAACCTTTTTACCGACATCCGAAATCAAACCGAGATCCGTCGAAATAGAAGTTCGCATTGGCCCATTTTCAATAATTTGCTATTAAAATAAACAAAGTAGTGTCTGTGTTATATTTAATATACGATTATGGTTTAAATCATAAAAATGTTAATTTAGATGAGAAATCTTAATTTAAACTTTTCGGAGAAAGATGAACTCAAATAATAAGTAAACTGTAGTAAATGAAAATGTAAGATGTTACTAATTATAAAAATAACAGTGAATAACAGGGGTTTTAAACCTTTTTGTGGCATCGAACCCCTTTGATCTTGATTTCAAACATTTGAATAAACATGACTTTCAGGGTCTTTCCACTTGTGACTTAGCTAGCGCAGCTCGGCGCCCTGATCAAACCAACCCTTTTGCTGCCCCCTTCCACGAATAAAAATGCATTTTGCTGAAAATGCCACCACTCAACTTAAGAAAAATTCCCACCCGGAGGGAACCTACCACTCCTCACCCGCTTCCTATGCAACTGCTTCACGCATCGCCTGACACTGCCTCCGCACCCGGAGGGATGCGGGCACCCCTGTCTAAGAACCCCCGAGATAGAAAATAGTCTGTTATGGTACTGTTAGGGCATGTGTGTAGGCTAATTTATTTTAGCGACCACCAATTGTCTCTACTTTTTTTTTTTTTTTTGCTTTAATGTTGACGAAACCGATTAAATATGCTGTGCCACTACCAACCCTCCCTTCCTTGATTGGGAAATGTATATATGAGCCAACAGCTGTCTTTAAAAAAAAAATGCGATTTTTGCCATATTTCCTATCACTTATTACGAGACGTTATGTAAGTGTAAGATTGTACTCTTTATGTATGTGTGTGTAAAGTAATATCCGTATTTTTCGAGGACTGTTCCTTTTCACTTGCTGTGCTGTAAGTTGATATAGTCTAGTATTTTGTTTCTATACATCCATCCCTGTGGCGCTACAGCTCATGTGGGGCTTTGGCCTGCCTCATCACTTCCTTCCACTCAGACCTAAGTAATACCTTTCTTTTCCATGCTTGGACTTTATACTTCTGTAGATCATTTTCCACACCACCTATCTACCCGAGACTAAGTCTGCCTTTGAGCCTTTTTCCTCTGGGGTATTGGTGATGCGCCTTCTTCGTTCCTCTGTCGTTTGGGATATCTCTAGGTGTCCTGCCCTGCGTAGCCTGCCTCTTTTTATTTCTGCTACTATCGTGGGATCTTGATATAGACTGTATAATTCATGGTTGGTTAAAAAAATAAAAAATTAATTAAAAGTAAATTTTTTTAAAAATAAATATGTGACTCACACATGGCCTGACACCCCCCCTTCCCCCCCCCCGTCACAAACTGCCACACTTTCTTACACCCCCTCCCTCCCTCTGGAGCGTGACGTACTTTATGGACCGCCCCTATATATTTCAGGAGGTTGCAACGGTATGTTTTTACCTAGTGTCAAAGCATCTAACAAACGTACAGCCAATCAGCTGATTCATACTGGCATGGATCGTACTCTTTGGTAGTTTGGTCTAAATTGCTACTGTTAAGCTGTTCTGATATACTAGACCAGGGTTCTTCAGAAATTTAAAATAAAAAAATAAAAAATAATTGAAGAGCCATTAAAAAAATAATAATTATAGCCAAACTCTGCGATCACAAACGAAATCCACTAAAAAAAACTCAAGTGAAAACATAACTATTTAGTTCCATATTTAGTATGCGGGCTTGCTAGTTTTA